GCTCTTCCGCTGAACAGTGTTATGAATTCTCCATGTGCCCCCATTAAACTTCCACTTTATTCTAGTTCAAGGTTCTAAAAGCCTGATGGTGGGAAAACCAGAAATGCTTCATAAGATAAGTAACAAAGCATTTACTTTCTTCTAAGGATGTATTTCCAACACAAAGTTATCACTGAGTTAAGAGCTTGACTAGTTCTGTCACCTACCAACAACAACCCTGCCACCAGTCTACCTACAGCAGCCCTTAAACAAGTGTCACCTGGTTTATTATCTCCAACAAAATAAATAACTTTGTTAAAACAGTAGAATTATGGTATCTTCTGAAGACTAGGGATGATGTAGATAATTTCCTTGCAGCGACATGGAGTATCTTACTGAAAAGACAGATTGGTTCTGAACCTGGAGAGCAGTGAATTCCTTCCATATTTCAAAAGCTGTAAGTGTGACGTATGGATTTTCAGACCTGTCATTTCTGCAGCAGCTCCTGAAAGTTTGGTTAAAATCAGTAATTACAATATTTCCTTAAACTTCAAACTGACATAGCTTCTCCAGGTGTTACTAATCTCCTAAAATGAGATATTACTAGACTGGAATTAGACACTGCTAACAGATATAGGATTTAGATATTCCTAATCTCCTGGAATGGTTTGATTATGCTAGTGCAGCACTGAACACAGCAAACAGCTGTATACCTTATTCAGAGTTCCAAAAGCTGTGCCAGCGAACAAGTCATAGGATACAAAACCAACTGGGTTTGGGTGAAAAACTAGCTTCTTAGAAGACAGAAAGCAAGAACAGGATGAGCGGTCACCTTCACCACTACAAAAGGTTAAGAACAATATTCCTCAGGGTGCCATAGGAAAACCTCCCATTAATGATGCTGATGAAAAGAAGGAGCAGTGAGACAAGATGATCTCGGGACAGCAAGAAGTACTGTGGGCAAGAGAAACAAAAGAGGAGTGCACTTTAGGGTGACCCACAGACACTGGATGAGTTTCTCAGTTTGATGGCAAGAGACGTGCAGCGTGGGTAAATGGAAATCAATGAATACAGGTGAAAAGCCCGTAGTAGTTTACGTGCTTATATGCTTTGAAATTAACCATATGCTCTCAGAAAGGGAACCTGAACGCTATATATGCACAGCTCAGTGAAATGGCCTGCTCAGGGCAGGTCAGGCTTGCTGACACAGTAGCTAGTGATGTATACACATGGAAAGTGTTAGTGACACACAGAACACTAAAACTGCTCCATGAAACAACAGTGCTGACTGATCTGGAACATGATTAGTCCTTCTCTTAAACAGAAAGAGACTGCAGAATAAAAGCATGGCAAGAATGATCAAGGACACAGAAATGGGAGAGAAAGAAGAATGGAGCTTACTCACCCTAGAAAGGCAGAGAGTAAGAAGTTATAAAATAAAAATATGTAGGCAAAATTAGAACTCATTTCAGAGCCCTTACAATGATTTCAGCTGTAAAATCCAAATGCAACGTACAGTGGGGTCTGAACTCTTATTCTGCTCTCAGAAAGTGGAAGAAGAGGAGGAGGGAAAAATTTCACAGAAACACAACCCTACTATTACGCAACAAAATATATTTCACAGAAACACAACCCTACTATTCAGCAACAAAATATGTCAATGTATTTTTGGAAAGAGGTAGGGAGCGTGAATGAAGGTCCATTATTAAACTGTGCCACGCATGCCCAGCTGTGGTAGAGAGGGTCTGAACACAGGACTAGCAGAAATAAGCAATGCAGTAATTTGGGTACAGCACATGAGGTGAGACCTCCTGAAGCAACATGGTTTGGCCCTGCACGAAGGACATACAATTCTGACAAATTACTGGCTGATAAAGGAGAAATACTTGTTCCTTCCAGGCCTCCCAGGTTCCTAATGATCAAGGTGTTTAACAGTCTAGGGAGGAGATCAGCATTTCAAAACTGGATCCAACACCTGGCAAGTGACTGACTAGGGAGCAGCTGAAAACGAGCACGGAGCTTTCAGGAGTCAGCCAGCCGGAATGCGGTGCAGACTGTGTTTTAATGCGGTGCAGACTGTGTGAACACTTCCTGTAAGGCAGCAGGCAGCAGAGAGAAGCTCCAGCTAGCTGGGGCCTACAACCCTAAACCCACTAACCAGACAGTTTTAAGAACTGAGGTTGGCCTTGGCTGGCTGCCAGACACGAACCTAGCTGCTCTCTTACTCACCCCTGCCAGCAGTCCAGGGGGAGAAAGTAAGATGCGAAAGCTCATGGGTTGGGATAATGACAGGAAGATCATGCACCAAGTACCATCACAAGCAAAACAGACCCAAATTGGAGAAAATTAATTTAAATATTGCCTATTAAAATAAAGTTTGATGTTGAGAAAGACAAAAACACCTCCCTCTTTTTTTTCCCAGATTCAACTTCACTCCTGCATTCCCACTGTCTCCACCCCGCCCAGCAGTGCAGGAGGTGGAGAATGGGGAGTTCCGGTCAGTCCATAATGGTTCCTCTCCTTCCTCCTCACACCACTCCCCTGCTCTTGTGTGGGTCCTTCCCACAGGCTGCAGTCCTTCAGGATAAACTTGTTCCAGCATGAGTCCTCCATGGGCCATAGTTCCTGTCAGGAGAACCTGTTCCCACACGGGCTCCTCTCCACCGGCTGCAGTTTCCTTCAGGATATATCTACATGCTCCACTGTTGGGTTCTCCACAGGGGGTATGTGCTCCAGCATAGTCCTCTTCATTGGCTGCAAAGGAATCTCTGCTCCAGCACCTGGAACAACACCTCCCCTCCTTCTTCT